GGAGAAATAAGCAAACCCACAATCACAGTGAAAGATTTTAAGACCCTGCTCTTGATAATTGGCAGAACAATTAGAATTTTAAAAAATCAATAAATATACGGACTCTCTAGACAACAGTAGAATCCAGGGCTTGGTGAACTATAGCATACGTGCCAAATCCCACAAATGAAGTTCTCTTAGAAAACACCCATTTGTTTATGTACTGTCTCTGGCTCCCTGTGGCTGCTTTCACCAAATTGAGTAGATGCAATGGAGACCATATGGCTCTAAAAGCCTAAAATATTTTGCTACAGAGCCCCTCAGGTGAAATTTTGCTAACTTTGAACCCATTTCGAGAGTGTTTGTGATTGCTTGTTGGAGCATTCATAAATAGCTCCTTCAGAGTCTTTGAAAGATAATTCCAATGTCTGTGTCAATCTGGTCGTTAGTGTCAATTAATTTTCCTCAAGTGAGTTGATTATGTTCTTATTTTCTCATACACCAAGTAATTTTGAACTGTCTCCTGGAACTTTTAAATATTATGTATGAGCCCTGGCTGGGTGGCTCAGCTGGTTGGAGCATCATCCCATCCATCAAAAAGTTGTGGGTTGAGCCCTGGCTAGTGTGGCTCAGTGGATTGAGTGTGGGCCTGTGAAGCAAAGGGTCGCTGGTTCAATTCCCAGTCAGGGCACATGCCTGGGTTGCAGGCTAAGTCTTCAGTAAAGGACACATGAGAGGCAACCACATATTGATGTTTCTCTCCCACTCTTTCTCCTTCCCTTCCCCTCTCTTTAAAAATAAGTAAATAAAATATTTTTTTTAAAAAGTTGCCGTTTTGATTCCTGGTCAGGCTGTATAACTAAGTTGCAAGTTTGATCCCCTGTTGGGGTGTGCACCGATCTATGTTTCTCTCTCACACTGATGTTTCACCATCTGCCTCTCCCTCTACCTCTAAAATCAATAAACGTACCCTCAGGTGAGGATTTAAAAAGTTAAATATTATATAATGAGACTCTAGGTCTTGTTTAAATCCTATGTAGCATGTACTTTTTTGTTTTAGGCAATAGACCCACTTAGGTTCAGGCTGCAGATTCAACCTGCCTCCAGCAAGCTGTGGTTCAAATGTAAGTTCAGTTGTCAAAGCTCTTGCAGTGCCATTTGGATAGATCCAGAATATGTACTGTTGGTGGTCATGTGGGACCTGGCTGATGGTCTGTTAGCTGGGTTCTTAAAGTCACTGGTATACTGATCAGATCCGTGTGTGCACAGCTTGGTGGTGAGCCCAGAAGTTCATATTCAATTTTATGGGATTTTCCCCATAAAGTTATGGAAGAGTGTCTCTCTCTCCATTCTCTCCCCAGTACTTTCCAGTTCCCCACAATTACCCTTTTCAGTTTTTATGGGCAGAAAGTTGGGGTCAGAAAGTTTTTCCACCGTTGTACACTTTTCGGACTGCTCCTATCTTTGGCCAAGTGGTGGAAGAGATAAAAAGGGGGGAAAAGCAATAAAGATTGGTCGGTTGGAGTGGAATGTTACCCTTCTTCAGAGTTTTTGCACCTTGCTGGGTTCCGCTGTGGCCTTTGCTGCTGCCACTATGAAATGGCTTGGGGGCTGTGGTTCAAGAAAATAGAGAAAGGGAAAAAAACATGCAGAATTCTATACTCTGTCTCTGGGTGTTAGGAGCTTCCTGTTAGCCAGAACGGAAGGGCTTTTCCTGGAGCTGTCTGCACACATTGCATGCCATCCTCTGGGCTTCAGGCTGCACTGCATCCAGGCCAGCAGATACCAAAGCAACAAAAATGATAAACTCACCTTTAGTTCTCCAAGTCTTCTCCAATCAGACTGCTACTATTTACTTGCCAGTTGTCTTCTGGGTGCTCTATTCATTCAGTCCAGGTTTTGTAGCTGCATTTGCTGGTGAAGTCATGGAGGCCAGTGCAGCAGGAGCAGGGGGAGGGTGGGCAGCTGTGACAAGGTGAGGTTTGGGGTGACACAGTGGCCAGCCATGCAGGGCTCTAGAGAGCACGACCAGGAACTTTATGTTCCAAATTAATGACGAGCCTGGAGAGGACAACGAGCAAGGACATTCTATGTCCCCAAAAATGACTTAAATTTTAAGAAGGCCACTTTGCCCTCTGAAGAACAGACTGGGAGAGAGAAAGCAGCCAAGTGAGGAAACCTAAAAATAATTCAGGGGGCCATGGTACAGGACAAAGAGCATGGTGACCAAGGAGTGAAGAAAAGTGGGCAGAGTTTTGATCTGCTTCTGGTGGGGAACCAGCTATAAGGAGCAAGAGAGAGAGCAGGAATGAGACCTGGTCAGGTGGAGGTGGAAGACACTGGACCACATAGCAGGTTGGTGGGGAGAAATGAAGAGTGCTATTTTGGCCCCACTGAGTCTGAGAAGAGGAGTTGGGATGCAAACAGAGATGCTTAGAAGGCATCTGAGTGTAGGAGTGTGGTGCTCAGAGAGAGGAGGAACAGCTGGAGGAAAATGCGCTGAGGGGCAAGGGGAACACTTGTGCATGCACATAATATGCATTCCCCTTTTCTGCTTTATTGGTAAAGAATATAAAGACAGATGCAACTATGTTTTTTTAAAAAGCTGACATACTATAACTGAGAATTACATGAATTAATAAAAGTAAGATGCTTAGAAAAGTGCATGGCACACATTCAGTGTTTGTTGCTTCTTTTTTAACTTCAATTCCAATGGAAACAGACAAATTTACCTAGTAAGAGGTCTTTGCATAACTTGCTGTCTGAAAAAAGCCATTTAGATGCTCTACCTTATATTTAAGTGAAAACGCATTTCATATCGATTAAAGATGTGCATGGAATAAATCAAGCTAGAAAAGTATGAGAAAAACATCTGGATAAATAGTTGTCTAGCCTTGGGATAAATGAGGCCTTTATTAAGCTCCACAGATAACCCATACCCAATAATGAAAAGATTTTGACCACATACAAAATTCTGTATGGCAGAAAATGCTATAAACCGTGCTAAAGATAAGTAAGAGGTAAGTAAATATTGTATTATATATGACATGCAGGAGGTGATTTCCCCCAAGATACAAAGATCTCCTAGAAATTGATAAATAGCCCAACGGATTTCTCTTCACAAGAGAAGACACAAACCATCAAGAAATACATGAAAGGAGGCTTTATCTCACCAATACTTAGGTGAACCAATAGCCTTTACCTTTTATCCATCCAATTTGACCCAGATTTCTCAGACATTTTTGCTGGGATCATGAATTGTTACAACCTTTTCTCTGAATGATCTGGCAAATAAAAGGTGTGCATATCATTTCACTCGGTAATATCTCTCCTAAGAATTCGGACAAAAGAAATAAAAGCACCAGTATATACAAGATGTTTGCTGCCACACTGTTTGAACTAGCAAAGCAATAAAAAAAATGTTGAATGTCCATAAATAGGAAAATGGTCAAATAAATTGATGACATTTTGTAATGTCAGCTGTTAAAAAGCACGTATGGGAACTATCTATACTGACCTGGAAAGATGTCTGTGGTCTGTTATTAAGAAAACAAGGCAGGGGATGGGGAGGAAAGGCAGAAAAACTGTACTTGAACAACAATAAAAATGTTTAAAAAAACTAAATAAGGCAAGTTATGTAGTAAGATCCTAACACTTTGGTTTTGGTATATTGTGTATGCTTTGTTTTTTGGTGCCTGTGTGTGGTGAATCGCAGCATTAATACATTCATACATGTACTTACGTGTGCAAGGACATAGACAGAGAAGATACCCAACTGCTAATGTTGATCCCCTCAGAGAAGTAATATGGAAAGGTGGGAGGAGCAGGCACACTAACTGTTCGTTTGAAAAATTAAAATGTCTATATAGATATCAATATATACTTTCTCTTTACAAACCTTTGTGTTATTCGACTCCTTTCTGAAATTAAAAACGAAGGATAAACATAGATCTAGTATCTAGATTACATTTTAAAAAACCTCTTAATCACAAAAGGCAAACAACACAATTTAAAAAGGACTGAAACAGACATTTCTCCTAAGATACACAAATTACCAACAAAATACATGAAAAGATGTTGAATGTCATTCGGGAAATGCAAATCAAAACCACAATGAGAGGCCACTTGACAACCACTAGGATGGTTAGAATTAAAAAAAACAGAAACAAGACAATAAGTGTTGATGTGTTTAGAGTAGCACAATTTGCAATGGCCAATAGATAGAAAAAACTCAAAAGTCCATCAAATGAATGGATAAACAACACGTGGTATATACATACAATGTAATATTATTCAGCCATAAAAACGAAGTTCTAATATATGTTACAAGGTGAAGGACCTCAAAAACATTACAAGTGGAAGAGGCCAGACAGAAAAGATTAAAAGTACGTGAAATGTCCAGAACAGGTACATCCACAGAGACAGAAGGCAGACTAGTGGTTGCCAGGAGTTGGAGGGAGCGGAGAATGGGGAGGAGCAACAGCTAAATGGGCGTGGCGTTTCTCTTAAGGGTTAGAAATGTTTAGGCACAGGGTAACATTGGTATTTGCAAAACATTGTAAATGTACTAAATACTACTGAATTTTTCACAATAAAACGGTTAACTTTTTATATTTGGCGAATTTCACTTCAATTAAAAACGGATAGGGGGTTGGCAGGAAACTCTCTGTGCACCGGCCTAGAGCCCGCTGGACCAGAGGTCTCCTTGCGGCCCTGCATCCCCCGGCCTGGGTCAAAGTCAATACCCCAGCTCGCGAATCTAGAAAGCGACATGGGTTGAGGAAAAGACAACAGGGGTGTCAGAGAAGGGAATATCGGGAGAAAAAGACAGAGGAACCGGTGGGATACACTGCTCGTTACATCGCTACCACTGCAGGGTCGAGCGGTTCCGCCGAGGCTCGGTCGGAGAACTCTGGCTGGGACGGGGGCGGGACCGGGGCGGGGATGGGGTGGGGCGAGGCCGGGGGCGGGGCGGACGCTAAAGAAACCGGAACTTCTCTTCTAGAGCGCCCGTTTCCGGAGGGAACTGGGATCCGGACGTCAAAGTCCGCTCTGCCCGGAACCCAGCTTCCGGAGTCTCCTGTTTTCTCCAAGTCTTTACGGCGTGGGGTCGGTGGTGGAGATGAGGCAGAAGCACTACCTTGAGGCCGCGGCGCGGAAACTGCAAGACTGCTGTCCCGGCCAGGCCCGCTATCTCCTGTAAGACCCGGCCGGGAGCGGGAGGGGGAGCGGGGCCCAGCAGCGAGGTGTCCCCTCGTTCCTCACGAGTCTCTTTCTCTTTTACAGCTGGGCCTACAGTTCGTCACACGGTAGGGGGAACACCCGTCGGTCGTGGGTCAGGTTCTCACCGCCCCACACCTCTCATCGCATAGCACTCAGGATGATCCAAAGGAGAAACCTGATCGACCCACTACCCTCATAAGCCCCGCGTAGAGCTGAATGTGCCTTAACTTGCCTGACGTGTTAGAGGCGTTTGACACATTGATCAGTCTTCTCGAAATGGTTTCCTTACTTGACTTCAGGTCATCTCTTACCTCTTTAGCCAATATGTCTTGGTCTGCTTTACTCGTTCCTCCTAAATTCCCGTCTCTGTAAATGCTGGAGTGTCCCAGGACTCCACCCGTGGACCTCTTCTTTTCTAACTGCACTCACTTCCTTGGTGACAGTTTTTCATTCAGTCTCATGGCCTTTAAATTCTGTATGCTAAGGGTTTCCAAGTCTATATCCCCAGTCCAGTCCTCTCCCCCGAATTCTAGACTGAAACTCAGATGCCTTCTGGGCAACTTTTGAATACCTATTAGGCCAAAACCTGAGCTTTACCCCATACCACAGTTCTTCCCATTTCAGCAAATAAAAACTCCTCTTCAGAATTAATCAGCTCCAAACCTTGGGGTCATTCTTGACTCAATAACAGCATAATTGCAGTCAAAGCCCAGCCCACAAACTACAAAATTGGTCTATTTAAAAAAGACACAAAATCACAGTGATTTTGTTATTTTGTGATAAATGTGTTTGTAAAATAGGTGATGCATACAGCCTTTTTTAGCTTAGTACAAGTGATAAGAATGAATGGATAGTTATAGTATTTTGCAAAACAAATTATTGCCATTTATCTTTTAATAAATTCTTATACTTTTAGTTTGCTTAAGGATAATGTGTATCTGCTTATATTAAATATATACCCCTTTTTACATTTATAATGTTGGCAGTGTGTCTGAGGTAAGAAAATATTCTAATTCGTTGAATCATGAATTTCATTTGTATAATTTTAGATGCTAAAAGCACATTTGAAGGAACATGTCCATACTGTTTCCAGTTGCTGGTTCTGGATAATTCTCGGGTGCGCCTCAAACCCAAACCCAAACTGACACCCAGAATACAGAAACTTCTTAATCGAGAAGCAAGACATTATACACTCAGTTTTAAAGAAGCCAAACTTTTGGAAAAGTACAAAAACTCAAAAAGTATATTGGTAAGATTTCAATTCTTAAATGAGATTTTTTTTCTTTCACTTAAAATGAGGTTAAGAATCAGTCTGAACATTACTCAGAAATTTGTAGTAGTGTATTGAGACTGTCAAAATATATACCTAATTTTTTCCTAGTGATCACTGTTTCAGCAAGAGTACAGCCTATTTTTTTCAGTTACTGAAAACCAAGTATCATGAGCTCTCATTTGTTCTCAGATCTCATTGCTGAGCACAATTCTTCTTTTTTTTAAAGATTTTATTTATTCATTTTTAGAGGGGAAGGGAAGGAGAGAGGGAGAGAAATATCAAGGTGTGGTTGCCTCTCATGCATCCCCTGCTGGGAACTGGCCTGCAACCCAGGCATGTTCCCTGACTGGGAATCGAACTGCGGTTGTTTGGTCTGCAGGCCCACACTCAATCCACTGAGCTAAACCAGCCAGGGCACAATTATTCTTATAAATTTGAGGGTTTCTTGAGCTGACTGATGTGACCTGCATCACCTGACCTGCAGCTACCACTAAATTATTTTTTCAGTTCATGGTCTTTTTCTCCAACAGTACCTTATTTGTTAGGTACCAGTGTTACTTCTCTGGTCATCCCCTCCTCCATGTCAGAGTATGTATTTAAGTCCAACAGTAAATATATCTTACGTTCATCCAGTAAACCTTTACTGAGGCCAAATGATGCTAAGTACTAGGGATATAAAAATGGAATAAAATACCCAAATCAAATTACTTGTGGTTTATTACAGAGAAACCAGTATCAGATACATCATTACCAAGCACTGTGCTGGGCTCTGGGCATTATGACAGCTAATGTCTGGCCCAAGATTCCAATTAATGATAACTTGGACTGGAACTGCCATACTTAGGAGTTTACCAGTATTGGACCAGTAAATGCATTTTGCTTTGTCATAAAATCAACTATTTAATCTATATCCAGCCTCTTCGAAGAATATAAAGCAACTTACATAGACCTTTGATACATGCAGATCTTCCATTTTCATTTTCATTTTCATCTGCTCGTGAACATCAGAGTACTTCTCAGCTAAGCTAGTTTGTCGTCATCTCACTGAGGCCTGTGCTGAATCCTGAGCATTATGAGTCAGGCACGCACAAAGGCATTTACTGTAACTAGAAAATGGACCACTTCTTGAAAAATGAACCCTGAAGAGAAACCAACCTGTAGAGCTAATGAAGTATGGGAATGTGAAAATTGATTTGATGGGTTTTATAAGTTACTTTAGACCTATATTTACAGAACCACTAAGGATTTGAAGGAGTCACATTTTCAGTAATACTTTGCCATGCTTTCTTGGAAAGTTCATCTGCAAAAAATGTTGAATGTCTACTGCTATTACGAAGCACCATCCAGGTGTCAAAGGGTATCGTTCCCAGTCTCCTTCAACATTGCCCCTCAACATGGCTATACTCTGGGAAAGGAGAGACTCTGTTATCTCTAAAAGCCATTTTAAGTGAAATACAAATGTTTAGCCATTCATTTTTTACTGGAGGTTTTCTCATTTTAAATTGGTGTTTTGTCTGATTCCTGCTGCTAGATCACAAGCTCCCCGAGATCAGCCTGTCACTTACCCTGTAGTACCTGGTGTACTCCCTTAAATACAGGGATTGATGAACATGTACTTTATTGGAGTAAATTATAAGAGGAATCATGCCAAATATTTCTTCTTCCTATGGTAGTTGATTACTTGTAAAACATGCAACAAAACAGTTAAACATCATGGTAAAAGTAGAAGCTTTCTGTCGGCATTGAAGAGCAATCCTACCACTCCTGCGAGTAAACCCAGCCTGAAGACACCAGAAAGAAAGACTCTCGGTTCTGCAAACTTGAATCATAGACTGTCTGGTTCCAAAGGCAAGAGCCCAACATTGATTTTCAGGTATCTTAATTCATTAACTTATTTGAACTGCCAATGTTAACTCCCGAGTATTCTCATTTCCTCTGTTACATACACTCCATAAACTTGCCATGCAGTTCAGTGTCTTGGTTCTTTTTTCTCCATACCCTTTTTTTCTCTAGTATCATATGCTCCCGTGTCTCTCATTCTCACCTCCGCATGCCTTTCAGGTATATTCCTCTACTTCCAACCTCTCCTTGTTCCCAGCTGCCTGCTAAATATAACTTCTTTATCCACCTATACAGCTAACTACTCAAACCTGCCCATCCTCCCTAAGTTCCTTATTTAATGAATAAACATGCCCTTCTAGAAACTCTGGCCTGAAATGGCAAGTACAGTTGAACACTACTGCCGTGGTCCTTGTCCAGTTAGCCGCTAGTTTCTAGCAACCCTGCCTTTGTGGTGTTTACATCTGCTCTCCTTTTTCTCCCTGCTGCTGCTATCTGTTCAGGTCTTTACTCACCTTTCCTTGAGTCTCCGTCTAAACCTTTCTAGACTAGTCTTTTCCCGAAGCACAGCTCTGATTAGAAGCACCTCACTCTGTTCCCTGTGGTCCAAATGCTGCAGCTGGGCTTTCTAGCTCAGAGTCTGGGACCAGTCTGTCTGCTTATCTTACTTTGCCTTAATTTATCCTGTGTCAGCAAAACCGAACAGCTCACAATTTACTTTCCTGCTCCTTTGTTCTTGCTGTTTCCTCTAACAGAAATGCCTATGGGAATCTAACTAAATAGGGATTTGTCAAGTGATAACCAAAGTAAATATGGGCACTTGTTTTATTTTTAGTGATGCTTGATGCTGAGTTACTATTATAGTCAATACATTTAATTCCATAGAAACTGTGAAAGGAGTTTTTGAACATTTGTTACAAAGGAGAAACCGAGTCTTATAGTTTCTTGAACATAAATAACAAAATTCGGGAAGGACTGTATTATCTCTGCTTACTGAGTTGATTTTTTAAGTATTGGATTTACTGGTTAAGAATTAAAATTTCAAGTCCAGTTTTCTCTATATTCTTGATTTAATTGTTTTGATATTTGGTATGGTAGGAATTCATCATTGATGTTTCTACTTATTGGATAAAAGTAGGTAAAAGAAAATTTGAAGTATTTAAAACAATTTGTTTGCATTTAGACCAGGGTGCTGCTTAGACATATGCAGGGATGAGAAAGATATTGACACTTATCTTATAGATGGGGAGGCAGAAGAGGAGTTAGGCTTACCCCAAATAGGGGTTTGGAGGATGGAGCCCAATTGGAGAGAATAAAATAGAACGAGGCATAAATATACACATACCAGATGGAGAACCATTTATTAAGTGGACATATTTAGAGGGCTCCTCTGTGCCCGGCCCTGTTAAAAAGCACTGGATTATGCAATTAACAGTACAAAGTGCTTATCCTGTGGAATTTACTTTCTAGGGGGAAGACACAATGGAATGGCACCTACATGTGTAGGTTGGCATTTTATTCTTTTCTTTTTTAAAGAGGGAGAGAAACATCAGTGTATGGTCTCCTTTCCCACACCCTATATTGTGGACCTGGCCCACAACCCAGGCATGTGCCCTGACTCGGAATCGAACCAGTGTTTGGTTTGCAGGCCAGTACTCAATCCACTGAGCCACACCAGCCAGGGTGGATTCTTCACTTTTAAGAAAGCAAGTGGTCTTGATCTGTGAAGAAATGTGTTTTCAGAGTCCTTGCTTAGCACTGTCATGAATCTTGATGTCAGACTTAAAAGGGAACTCAAACCTGATGGCACTTTACTTTAGCCTTCTCCTTCAGGTGTGATAGAAGCTTCCAGAACCCCCCAACAGACTAACTGAATGTTGTGTGTAGCCCATTCAGTGTGGAGGTTTGGGGGAATGGCTGCTGGGAAGAGCTACTGCTCCTACACGGCCATAATGAAGAAGAGTAGAAAATGTTTCCAGTAGCGGCAATTCAGGATAAGCAGGAAGAACACTTTAAACTACCATTTGTCGGTATTCCTGAGTGTGGTTTTATGTTTCTTTTCAGAACACCTACATCTGGACAATCAACACCCACTTGCTCCTCAAAAAATGTGACCAAAACAAAGAAGCACTTCTCTCAACTAAAAATGTTGCTTAGTCAGAGTGAATCCAAAAAGAATTCAAAGGTGGACTTTAGAAATTTCTTATCTTCTTTGTGAGTGATGGACTAAGAAACGTCTAATGCAGTTTTTGAAACTAAAGTTAGAAAAACAGCTTTTTAAAAACTTTTGTTTTTCTTCTTTAAATACACGAAAACTAGGATCCAAAAGCAAACTCTTCTTGGTATTCTTCAATGTTTATGGAGAAAATACTTCACTAGAATGAATAAAGCATGCCTGCCTCACAAGGTAGTTCTAAGAATCACAAATAGATGAAAGGTCCTTGTAAGTAGTAAAGGTATTATATATGGACATCGAGTGGTTGTATTGTTTTCTCCCTTAATCAAGCTCTCATTATTTGTCATTTTCTTTCTTTTTTTTTTTTTTTAAGATTTTATTTATTTATCTTTAGAGGGGAAAGGAAGGAGAGAGGGAGAGAAATATCAATGTATGGTTGCCTCTGGTGTGTCCCCTGCTGGGACCTAGCCTGCAACCCAGGCACGTGCCCTGACTGGGAATCGAACCATGGTTGCTTGGTTCCCAGGCCTGTGCTCAATCCACTGAGCTACACCAGCCAGGGCCCTGTTATTTTCTTTCATAAGGGATATCAGACCTGTCTGAGAGGATCTGCTTTTTAAGTTGTCTATAATGCTAATTTGGAAAAACGATCAAGCATAGGTGTTCTTATTTTCCCACAATCATCTGCAATAACTGTGTATTAATAAAATTTGACCATTATTCATATTTTGCATGCAAAAGTAAATATTCTTTTTTTTTTAAAGATTTTATTTATTTATCTTTAGAAGGGAAAGGGGGAAGGAGAGAGGGAGAGAAACATCAATGTATGGTTGCCTTTTGTGCGTCCCCTGCTGGGAACTGGCCTGCAGGGAACCGGCCTGCAACCCAGGCATGTGCCCTGACTGGGAATCGAACAGCGATCATGTGGTTCACAGGCCCGCACTCAATCTACTGAGCTACACCAGCCAGGGCAAAAGTAAACATTCTTGATTGTAGATGATTCAGTCAGATACAGAATTTTTGGTTTTTACAACTTTCTGTCATTCCTTTAGTAATAATTCACCATACATGACCTTTCATTCACTCTAAAGTCTAAAATTTATTCTAGGCCTAAAATTTATACTACAACATAGTATAATAGTTTAGCTATCTTAAATTTTCTCTGGAACACAGATATACTTTTTTTAAATGACAGACAAGAATTGTATTCAGCCTATCTTTTAAAAACTTTAAGTAAATAATTTAGATACTTTATAATCTGTTGCCTAGTCTCTCTGCTGCTACAAGTTTAAAAACTTATCTTTCTTCTATTAGGGCATGGTAAACTGTGAGAGGCCAAGTTCATTAACAAGTTGGTCTTGTAATTGTGTGAAGCAGAATTACACTTAGGGTCAGCCTCAAAGAGGTATGACAAGGGTCATCATTCTGAACTTCCAACTGAACCACAAGCTGCGGGAGCTGGGCCTTCTCTTTATGTCCACAGCATCTAGCCCAATTTTAGTCACAATAGCTACTTTAGCTCTCTGGCTAACCTCTCACTGGAACATGTGTTCCTCTTGAACTCTTTCTGTTCACTTAGCCAGTCAGCCCTTTGTAGTCCTCAGAACATGCCATGCCATCTTCTTGCCAGCGTTAGGTCTTTCCAACGCTTTTGGCAAATGCTGTCTACTCCAACCCCACTGCAATCTGAAGACCACTCTTCAATTACAGTGCCAGTGACCCTGTAGTTTACTGTTTCTGACTGTGTCCCTAACTGCTGATAAGCTGTCTGCATGTCTGGGTGATCTTAGGTATGCCCCCAGTACCTAGTTCAAGCTCTGTAAATTCAAATTCCTTAGCCTATTAGTTCACACTAGTTAGATTTAGAACTAACATCCTTTCCGGCCACATGATAAGGACATAAATAAGTAGTAGTAAAAGTAGGAACCCCTATGTGGGAGCTGCTTATATTATCTCAATTCAAAGGAAGGACACCATGTGTCTTGACTTTATTTTCTGTTTGGCAGAAGGATCTTTGGGCATCTCTAAATGAATATTAAAATTATAGTGTGGACATAAAACTCTTTGAAGAAAACATAGAACTACATCTTCATAACCTTGGATAAAGCAATAGTTTAGACATAATACCAAAAGCACAAGCAACAAAAGAAAAACTAGATAAACTAGACTTCATATATATACATTAAATACACATTATTTATATACACATATATATTAAATATACATATAATTTATAATACTCAAAGTATATCTTTGAATCCTTAACTTTTAAATATATAAACTCTACAGAGAAATCATTAGATCTTGGTCATTTCAGATTAGTTGTTTCACCATTTCATTCTGAACTTAGGGAAAGATCACACAAGCTTGTGTGAAGATTGGGTAATGGAGCTAAGTATCCATGTTTTGGGTTTTTCTTTCAATATTTTGAAATTACATTTACAGGGTATAGAGCTAAGTAATCCACCCATCCAGGAATGAAGAACCAGAGCAATGGTCAGCGGACTGAATCTCCCAGAATTTCTAGATGATAAGAATCAGAAAGTTCTGATTCAGTTGGTATGTGCCCTTCTGCAAATGTCCCAAGTGAGTCTTATGCAGGGAGTTTGGCAGACACTGCCAGAGATTCCCAGATTTCTAGTATTCCCCAATTCTACTTTAAATTCAAGGTCTGGTGAGAGGACTTGTTCTCCAAAGGAGTTTGAGGTACTAGGTGAACTGTTCACGCAGAAGCACTTAAGCACTACTAAGTCACAGAAGCTTTAGTCTTGTTCTCTGCCTCTAAGGAACCTGCTATATATAATGAACTTTATATATAGTTAATTAGCATACTTCATTACCTTGTCACCTGGAATTGCCTAAAATTTTAAATCATGAAGCAAGTCACAGACTTCAAAAGTTGGTCTACAGCAGGTTGTCAAACTGTGGTCCCTAAACCCAGTGACATCAGCATCAAATTGTTAGAGCTGTAAACTATCAGGCCTTAACCCCAAAGCTCTGGGGTGGGGCCCAGCCGTCTGTTGTTTAATAGGCTCTCCAGGTGATTCCAAGGTTCCCTCAAGTCTGGGAACCACTGGCCAAGCAAAAGGAATCTTCAGCCATTTCTCCACCATAATATCGCTGAATACTTCCAATACTTTCCTCCCTTCCCCATCCTATATCCAATTAATCAGATTCACCAAAATAATCTACACATTTCAAAAAGAACATAAAACTTTATTAAGAACATCTTATATTGTCATCAGATACAGCCAAACAAAAAAGGGTAAAGAAACAGGGAGACTTCATCTTCCATGTGCTATTGCCCCCTCAGAACAGACTCACATGTGGATGGCTGGAATTACAGAGGGCAACAAATGCTCTGTACAAATAAATTCAGTAGGTAACTCAATGTTCTCTTTCTACACAGAGAACTGGGTTTACACTTAAAAAAAAAGCTTTCATATAGTGCAACAGCTATGAAACAAGAGTATACCTTTAGGAGCTATTTGTTAATAGAATACAAAGCAGTTTAGTAGCTTATGTTATTTCATATATCAATTTCTACAATTGATAGAAATCTCAGAAAGGACATTCTAACTTTCCCAATTAATAAGTATTTGAGTTTTTTCATTCTAAAGATTTCTTAGGACCAGTTCAATAACTAACAGATGAGTTGCTCATCTACAGTGACAACTGACAACCAAGTTTTGTTCTTTTAATTTTGCAAACCAAGATGACCGGGTCCCCCAGCTTTTGCTGATTCTGAAGGATTTCTTATAGAAAAACCCTGATTCAGAGTGCATGTGAGGAAAGGTACCAAAATAGCTGTGTCTGGGCTAGTTTTCCTAGAGGGGAGGCTGGCTGCTGAGCACAGCTGATTTTCTCAGACTCCCAGGTTCCCCCATGTGGTTCTTTTACTTACTGCAGTGACGGAAGGAGCAGAGGGAATGCCAGGGGATCTGTTCAAACTGCCGCTCCAGACAGCTCTCTGCACTGTTTGTGGAGAAAAGAGTGATGGTGTCCATTCAAGCCACAGCATCCCTACTGCAGGTGTGGTTGATATGCTTTTCTTTTGAGGGGCCAGGCCAAACTGCACTCAGATGCATGGTTTGCCTCACATGCACAGCGGAGAAAATGCTCATGATTTAGAATTTGGTATTACAATACCCGCACCTAACCCCATTTCTTGAGAAGTACTCTACCTTTTAGAGAAGAAGACTATTTACTGCTAAGGCTTACCATGTTAAGTATCATAAGGCTGAAAATGTAACTTTTAAACCACACCGTATCATTTGTGTTCACAGTTAGTGGATTAACCAACCAAAGGTTTGAGGAGGACTGGTCAAGGGGTGGGGTTGGGGGTAGGATTCAGGCTGAGTATTAATCACTTCTCACAAACTGCATCAAGCTCTTTAAAAAAATAATGCATTTTTATAATAAATATTTAGAGCAGATACTGGCATTAAAATCAGTATCTAAGTCAGAAGTCTGTCTTAAATGGTGAAAATATTTCAACAAACTTCTAATAGAGTTCAAATCCTCCCAGGAGTACAGTTTATAAATTAGTTTTAAATGGAAAAAAATAGTTTGAATGAATAAATCACCATTTTAGCATATCATAAATAGGTCAAGATGTTGAAAATAAATTAATATACAAGTTTTTGCTTTCCCTTTAACAAAAAAAACTTACATGATATACTTCTGTAATAGGTATAACAAGGTTTGTATAGTTGTGCACTTCTTACACACCCGCCAAGCTGAATCTTTTTCTTACATATCCTACGCCAATGGACAGAGTTCACCAGACACACTCCCCGATGTGTGGGTCTGGCTGCTGCACACCACTTGCTCAGGTGGAGTGCTGTTAGAACGTTACAAATGCTGGTCAGGATCTACTGTTAACTACTATTAATGATGTGTCCACTAGTCTGTCCACATGAACTACGTCCATGGTTAAGTGCATCAGCTTCCCAGGTGAGCGTCCTGTGGCAGCGTGTGCAGGGAACCTAACCACAATTGTCTCTGCAAGGAAAGGTGCCTCAGCTCCCGAAAGATGACTAAAAAACTTTGGACTATAAGCCGTATATGAGCGGGAACCATTTATATGTGTCTGTTTTGGAGAGAGGTCACATTGTTAAAAAGCACTGTTTCCAGAACTATTAGCTATTAAAAATAAATATTTGCATTCTCCTTCACATATAAATTCATTTTAACTATAATCTTAAATACCGAGGAAGAAAGAGTAAAGCCATTTAGACTAGTGAGACATACTGGCTTGTGGGATTTAGAGATGTTTTATTGACTATCTAATTTG